AATTTCGCATGGGACGCGATGCTTCTAAAAACTGGTGTTGAAATAGAACAATTGCATGACCAAGAAATGTTTGAGATGGTTGAAAAGGGAATGAGAGGTGGTATGTGTCAGGTTAGTCATAAATTAGCGGTGGCAAATAATAAGTATATGGGGGAAGCATATGATGAGAACAAGCCATCAAATTATATTAGTTACTTAGATGCAAATAACTTGTATGGTTTGGCAATGTCCCAGAAGTTACCGCTAAAAAATATCAAGTGGGCAAAGAAAACGCCCAGTGTTGAAACATGGAATGAAAACGATGAGTTTGGTTATATTATGGAAGTTGATTTGGAATATCCCGAAACATTGCACGACTTCCACTCTGACTATCCACTAGCGCCTGAAATAATGAATGTAAATGTGAATATGCTTTCTGATTATCAAAAGCAAGTCTACAAAATATATTATGATGGCAAAAATCCCAAGGACGAGAAAACAAGTAAGTTAATATTAAATCTAAATAAATAAAGAAAATATGTGGTTCATATCAAGACTTTACAGTATTATTTGAAAATGGGAATGAAAATGACCAAAGTCCATAGGATAATAAAATTTCAACAGAGGGCATGGTTGAAACCGTGGATTGACTTCAACACCGGTAAAAGGAAAGAAGCCAAATGCGACTTTGAGAAAGATTTATTCAAATTAATGAATAACGCGGTGTACGGAAAAACCATGGAAGACAAACGAAATCATATGGACTTTGAATTAGTTGATAATGAGGTAAGATATCAAAAATGTGTGAATAACCCAACATTCAAAAACCGATTTATTATAAATGAAAATCTGGTAGGAGTTGAAAAAACTAAAGCAAAACTGAAACTGGATAAACCGATTTTTCTGGGAATGAGCATTTTAGATTTAAGTAAATTACATATGTATCAGTTCTACTATGATGTCCTTAAGAAGAAGTATAACGAAAACATCAAACTGGTTTATACTGATACTGACAGTTATGTAATTCAAACAATGACTGATGACGTCTATAAGGATTTCAATGATATAAAGCAACACATGGATTTTAGCGACTATCCACCTGAACATCCATGCTTTGACAAAACTAATAAAAAGGTCTTAGGAATGTTTAAGGACGAAGTGAATGGAAAAATCATTACTAAATTCATTGGATTAACACCTAAATCATATGCCTTCACAATTCATGGTGAGGGTGATGAACATAAGAAATCAAAAGGTGTAGTGAAACACAAAGTGAAAAAAGAACTGTCGTATCAGAACTATCACGAAGCATTATTTCAAAACAAAAAGCATGAAATCACATATAACTTCATCAGAAGCAAGTCGCATCAAATATATTCAATGTCTCAAGTCAAGCAAAGTCTGAGTAATTATGAAAACAAAAGGTTTTATATAGATGCTTTCAATTCACTGCCTTATGGGCATTACAGCATTAGGTAAAATGATACGTCCCTAAAATGGGTGTTTGGGGACATATCATTTGAGGACGGTTTGCGAAGAGCTCCCTTGAAATTGGGGTTGGTCTAAAACATTGAAACAAAAAATCGGCGAGAGTTTAACCTTACACAACGGTTTAGGGTTGTAAGACAAAACGCCCGACCCACCCGCCCGATAGCTTGTAGTCGCCGAGGGAGGTGCCTTCTGACAAACAGGACTCACACGATACGTCCCCAAAAGGGGTGTTTGGGGACATATCATTTGAGGACATTTTCAAATAAAAAATCTAAATAGTTCTAATAATATGAAATTACTAGAATTATTTTCATGCACAGGGTCGGTTGGTAGGGTTGCTCGGGATTTGGTTTTTAGTGTTATTTCCCTTGATTTGAAAAATGCAAATATCAATACTGATATTTTGAGTTGGGGTTGTGGTTGAAACTTGAAATGACCTAATGTCAGGCTCTGTAGGTAAGCTCGGCAAACTCGCTCCCTTCATGCTTTGTTTGAACCCTCTCCTCAACAGAAAAGGAAAGAAAAAAGGACACGACAAAACACCCCTAAAAGACAACCCTGTGTCAGACGAACCTAGAACAGGACAGTCTCGTAGCGGACGTTCAGCGTGACTTCATAACCTCAGGTCAGGCACATGGTGGACATACCCAAAAGGGGGACAGCCTACCACCCAAAAGGGGGACAGCCTACCACCCAAAAGGGGGACAGCCTACCACCCAAAAGGGGGACATCCTACCACCCAAAAGGGGGACAGCCTACCACCCCTACCACCCAAAAGGGGGACAGCCTACCACCCAAAAGGGGGACATCCTACCACCCAAAAGGGGGACAGCCTACCACCCACCACCCAAAAGGGGGACACCCAAAAGGGGGACAGCCTACCACCCAAAAGGGGGACAGCCTACCACCCAAAAGGGGGACAGCCTACCACCCAAAAGGGGGACAGCCTACCACCAAAAGGGGGCCTACCACCCAAAGGGGGACAGCCTACCACCCAACCACCCAAAAGGGGGACAGCCTACCACCCAAAAGGGGGACAGCCTACCACCCAAAAGGGGGACAGCCTACCACCCAAAAGGGGGACATCCTACCACCCAAAAGGGGGACAGCCTACCACCCAACCACCCAAAAGGGGGACAGCCTACCACCCAACCACCCAAAAGGGGGACAGCCTACCACCCAACCACCCAAAAGGGGGACAGCCTACCACCCAAAAGGGGGACAGCCTACCACCCAAAAGGGGGACATCCTACCACCCAAAAGGGGGACAGCTACTGGTTTATCAGCTTTTTTCACGGTCATCCTGGTTTCTGATGGCAATCACGAAACAATGCAGTTGTGAGACTGAGGAGCAGGACTGATAACAACGCCTGCCTCTGTCAAATTAACTTTTGTTTATTAATATTATTATTTCATAATATGATTAAACATTGTTTTATAATCTAACAAGAAGGTTAAGACAATTAAATTTAACATGAAACCCAGACCAGCCGACCAGCAACCCCCTAGCCAAAACTACTTAAAGAAATATTACCTTATATATTAAGAGAAAAATGAACGGTGATGGAATCAATAATTATATCGATCAAAAATGCTATGATTGTTGTCACTTCAAAAAAGAAAATATGGAATTGTATAAATTGAATTTGCCTAATGAAATAGTGAATAATATTATTAATTATTCAATGGATGGTGAAGAAGACATATGTACAAATTGTAGAAATTGGAGATATGATCAAGAATTAATCAAATGTCTGTTGGGAATAAAATTAATAAATAATAGAAATGTAGAAGATGATATTTTAATATTTCTAACTGTAAATAAAATACCACCTTACGATTATGTTAAACAGATTCTTAAAATCAGTAAGAAAAATATGACATGGTTTATGATATATTATGGATGTTGGGTTATAGTCAAGAGAAAGGAGAAGATGTTAAAGAAAATATCAAATTATTTATTGAAAGTAAAAAGTTTAATATTCAAAATACATTGAGAGATGTTAATATTATTTTTAAAATGATGTATGAAAGAAGTAAGACAAACCAATTAGATTATTATCCTGAACTGAAATTATAATCATAATATAATAATAACATGTAAAATCTTATATGTTATAATTATACTGAACTTTTAACCTATAACACCCCCTTAAACTTATCTAAAGAAATAACCCCTTAAACATATAGAGACCAATGACAGACAAAAAGCAATGTTCCAAATGTAAAGTCTTTCAATTGTTAGAAAAGTTCAACGAAGGAAGAAAACAATGTAATGTATGCTTGGAGAGCAAACGACGGTATAGAGAAGCACACAAAGAACAACTACAGCAAAAGTCAAAGGAGTATTACGAAAACAACAAAGAGCAGATTGTAGAGAAGAAAAAGACATATAGAGAGAATAACAAAGACACTATAACTGGAAAAGAACAAGATTTATCGTGAAAAGCATAAAGACGAAATAAAGCAAAAATCAAAAGAATATAGAGAAAAGAACAAAGAAGACATAAATGAACAACAGAAAGACTATAACAGATTGAAAGTAGAATGTCCTTTATGTAAATGTATGGTAGGAAAATACAGAATGAAAAAACACCAACAAACAAGTAAGCACCAACTAAGAGTGAAAGGTCAAGAAAACAATAACGATACTGTGAGAGATTACATGGAAACAACAAGTGACTTTGAACAAGAATAGGAATAAACAAATGAACCACCAACACCCCAGAACAAAACAACTACTAAAAGGGCCAACTCTTTCAAATGAAAAAAATGTCGGCCCCCACAAAATCCACCCCTAACACCTTACAACAAAATATAGGATGAAATCAAACAAGGGTGTTAAAACGTTGGATAACAACATTTGACCCAATAACCCCAACACTCCTCCCTCTTCCCCTCAGGGCCCCCCTTTTCTCCATTTTCCTACCCCCCCCCCCCCAAAAACCTACGTAATAGACGTCGGGCGGGGGGGGGGTTAGGGGGGGGGTTATCCTCTATCCTCTCTTAGGTGTCCGACACGCCGAGCAATGTCGGCGGATATATGTGTTATGTATATCTGACTTTACCCTCTACTAAAATGATGATTTTAGTAACAGCAGAAATCTAGCAAAGACTTACACGTTGAGTCAGGCTGATGGTTTATGGCTGAAGGTTGGCCAAAGTTTGGTGCGGTTCAGGTCAGAGCACTCTAACAGTTTGTAGCTGAGCTTGACCCAACGAGCCTTCCACTAAGCCCTTGGCCCCCTCAAAAAAGAAATACTGCAACAGGTGGGAACATCGGCCCCGTGAGCCACCAAAAAAAAGGAAAAACAAAGGAACCGGCCAAATATGATGACCCCCCCCCTACCAAAAGTGGACAACCTAGCCCACAAAAAGAAACGGCCGTATCATTACCCCTAGAACAAAAACTCAACAACAAACCGATGGGTTAACCCCATGAGCCTGAAAGCGGACACCAAAACCCACCTCTGCCCGTGGACGCCTCCGCCTCCGCCTCCTGCCGATCGCCTCCGATCGCCGATCGCGAGGCCATCCCGGGGCTCTACGCGGCCGGGGAGGTGGCCGGCGGCGTGCACGGCAACAACCGCCTCGGGGGCAACTCCCTGCGCCTCGACTCGAACCGACTCGAACCAACCAGCGAAAAGCACCGCGCATGGCTCTTGTTTTTTTTCTTCTTCTTTTCTCTTCTTTTCATTGCATGAGCATGTGGGTGTTTTTTGTCAGTCAAAAAGTAGGTGGTCAGCCCCAAATGGGTTGCCCTGATGAATGGGAAAGAAGGACGGATAAATATGCGGTCCAATTCCTGGTGGTTTGATTTTTGGACCCACAGTTGACCCCGCATTAAACCAACCAGAAAATCCGCTACCCTAATTGGTGGTTTGGATTGGTGGCTTGGAGGTTTAGAGGCCAGGGGTGGTTTCTCATCAACCCACAAGAGCCATGGGTTCAAATCCAAATCCAATCCACACCCGGCAAAACCATAAAAACCATACGTAGATGACCTTTTGGAAGAATAGATGGGTGTCCCTGGCTCATGGACCAAACCCCCTTGAAACCAGAACCACATTCCTGTCCCCAAACTCACCGACCAGGACACCAAATGCTGCCCGGATTCATAAACCCATCCTACTAGGGACTTGTGCCCCAGTGATGATTCCCCACGAAGTTCAGGGACGCTCCCGTTACGTCAGGCGTCACCTTTTCGCCCGCCTGATGTAACAATCGCCGTGCGTTGACCTGGGCATGACTTTGGCAGCTTGCATGAGTGTCACGTAATTAAAGCACCTGGGTAGCCCCCAGTGTCCAAGCAATAGCTCCACAATTGATAACTCACCCACAACTCAGGGTTCACCAATCATGGGGTCACCCACAAAGTGCTTTGGGAGTCCCAACACCCCCGAATCAAAATCAATTACGGGGTGAACTTGGCTGTTCTTGTTTTCTATTGCTTCAAAGGGCAGAATCCTCCACTTGAAAGGTGTCTGTTAGTTTCTTGCAAAGTTTCGGTTCAAGCCATTGTGTTCTTCTGGTTGCTTGGTTTCTTCCAGTTCTTCCAACTGAAATTCCAGTCCGTTTGGAGCCATACGAATCCTGTGGTTCTTCCAACCTGCTACTCCAAAAAAATCCTCCAAAACAGCGGGTTCCGAAACATCAGCTGGTTTTCAGAGGAGGTTTTAACCTGGGCTTCAAAAAGCATGCGGAAATTTTCCGGGTTTCGACTACCTGGCGCTGAAATGCACCACGTCACTTTGGTTTCGGTTTCTCTCAGCTCACTTCGGCGAGGCTGGACTGCGTGGTCTTCGGGCGCGTGGCGGGCCAGGCAGCCGCCAAGTGCCCACAGCTCGAGCCGAAACGAAGGTTCGAACGTTGGACGCCGACGTGGGGGGGTTGTTTTTTAGAGGTTGGACCCCTCAAGCTGACGGCCTACAAAGAAAAGAGGCGACATGTCTTGTTTCTTTTTGTTGAGCCCCCCAAACTGGTGGTTTTGCTTGGTGTTTCCCTTTCAGAACCACCCAAAGAGATGGGTAACCTCAAGCAAAGATACACCCACATGTTGTCATTTGGCCCCCTGTTTGGCTTTTCCAGAATCAAGCCAGAAGTAGTGGTCAATTGCCCAATCTGGGATTTCCTACCAGCTCTTGAACGGACCTCGACCTTTCATGTTAACGCACCCCCCCTTCTTGTAGGTAGAGATGCCGACAGCGGCTGCAGCCACGCTTCACTTCACTTTCGGCAAAAGTCCACTTTTGGCGGATTCAACCCCCAAAAAGGAATCGATAGTTCCTTTTTGGGACCTGAACCAGCCTCGCAAAGGATTCGGAAGCGCGAAAAGGGTTTCACTGGGCAACTCGGGCTTCAGAACCCCCCGAAAGGGTGGTTTTTCTTGGCGAGCGGGCGGCGAGTGGCGAGGTACATGCTGGGCGCGGACGTGAAGGCCGTGGATCTCATGGAGCTCACGGGGGGCTTGACGGGCCAAGTGCAGAGCTCCAAGCTCGCAGGCGCGGAAGCGCGTAATCGGCTCACGGGGGAGGGGGAGGGGGAGGGGGAGGGGGGGGTGTGAAGGTTCATGGGTTTGTTGTGAACTCGAACAGAATCATCAAACGAGAGACATGTGTGGGTCTTGTTTGTTTTCGGGCCCAATTTCTACCTTGGGCCTTCAGAGCACCCCACTTTATAAAGTTTGAGGCCTGAGAAGTGTCTCCAGGTGGATCCTATGAGGACAAGATGAACTCCGCGCCCGCGGCCACTGCCAATGGAACTGGCGGCGGTGGTGGCGGCATCACCATGTCAGATGTGTCCAGACACGCAAATCTTCTGGCTGCTCTGCTCCCCTTTTCGCCTTTCCTTTTAGGGCGGTGTGCCCCACCAGCAAAGATGGTTGTGATTCTATGGTCACTTCAGTGGACTATAATCGTTAGTTTCTGATTTCCCCAAAAGACAACCCAATGGATTCTTACTTTGCCCACCCGTGTGACCTTTTGCGGGGTTTCTGGCAAAACTACCTTTGTAGGTGTCATTTTGTTTGAGTGGTTGTCTAAATCAGTTCACTTGTTCTGGTTTCCTTCATGTTGCCCTTTATGATTTCCCTTCATGTCCAGCTTGCTCAGCAAAGTAAAGTATTTGTTTGTTTGGACGCTCAGATTTCGTTGTTTGTCTCTCTTTTTCTTCTGTTTTCTTTTAGGTGGCCAAGCACAACTCGAAGAGCGACTGCTGGGTGGTGGTGGACGGCCAAGTGCTGGACGTCACCTCCTTCCTCTCGGAGCACCCGGGAGGCGAGCTGGCGATCCTGACCTTCGCCGGCAAGGACGCCACGGAGGAGTTCAACATGAGACTCGGCGTGGGGCAAAAGTTGTTGAAAGGAAACCCGTCAGGTTGGGGTGGAGTGGTGGTTTGGATTTGGATTATTTGGATTTGGATTGGTGGATTGGTGGTTGGTTAAAACCTCGGGGAACCCGTCAGGTAGGTTGTTGGGTGGTTTGGACTTTAACCCCTGCTTCCTGAGGGAAAGCTACCCATGTTTGGTTGGGGGGGAATTTGAATTTGAGCCCCTGCTTCTTGTAGAGGGGGAAACTACCCCGTAACCTCCAAACCACCAACTAGAGGCAAGCTGAAAACAAGCATATCTCCTGGTTCTTTAGACAGGGAAAAAGAGAGTAAAAACTGTCGTGTCTTCGAGGGTACCTTGGTGTGTTTTGCGCAAAGTGAAGGCAAAAGGACGAACACCATTGTTGGGGGCCCCTGACCCACCTGGTTAAGAAGTGAATCCAGATAGGATTCAAGCCGCCACCCCTCACCTGCCTTCCCCTGATTTGTTGGATGTTACTTCACATGGCCTGTTCAGTTTGCCAGATTTCAACTTGTGGTAGCAAGTTGAAGCGCTTCGGTCTGCGCTCTAAGCTCTAAAGGCACACAGATTGAGAAGCAGCCTCCCTGATCCTCTTGCTGGTTTCCGCGGCACTTCGTCCAAGCTGACCTTGCAACCTGCTGGTTGCCGGCGTTGGCTCGACTCCAAGCTTTTTGCTTAATTTCGGGACAAAGAGGAAGCTGAATCCTGGTTGTGGAACATAGGGTTTAGGGTTTCCAGTTTGTCTGATACCAAGGCACCCCCGTCAACAAAGATAAGGTACATAGTCTTGAATCAACCATAAAACGTTGCAGAAAAGGTTATGGTTCACAACCATGCTGGAGTGGGTTTCTCTCCACAACTACGAAAGCATGAACCCCAAACAAAAACAAAACTTCAATTTAAGATCAACGGACCCAGCTGAGCGCTTAGGATCCATCCCCCCGATGTCATCGGCAAGTACGCCCCGGACTCCATCGTCGGCACCCTCGGCGGCGGCGGCGGCGGCGGCGGCGCTGTGGCCAACGGAGGCGGCGGAGGCGGAGTTGCGGGCGGCATCCCCATGGAGGAAGTGGCTCGGTCAGAGAAATCAGTTGGGCGGCTTGTCCCTTTTTGGGGAGAACACCCTTTTAGTTTGGTTTTGGGGAAACCACCTCCAACATCTTGTTATTTTCATTTTGCCTGCATGAACCTTCTTGGATTCTTGCTAGCTGCCTACAGGAACCCTCAGCAGCTCATTTGTAGGTTCCCTGTGAGTCTCCATAGAAATGTCGGCGAAAAGGATGTCTCCTATTCCAGGTCATGAATGCCTGCAGAATGCAAGACACAGTGGACTCAGAGGATCTTAGAGGATTTCCAGGCCGTGTGTTCCCACGTGTTCGGGTGTTTGGTAGGTCTTAGGAGGTCATTGTTCATTGCAACCCCAACGGCAGTGCTTCTATGTTTTTTTTTTTTTTTTTTTTTTTTTTTTTTCTCGAATTGGGTTTTGGTTTGGTTGCCCTTTGCATCAAAGGAGGGGTTCGGCTGGTACAAGTTTGCCCATGTTGGCGGGTTTTATATTTATTTGGCGTGCAGCGGGTTGTTGCAGCATTCCCTGTGCAGTTTCTAGAAAAGTTGATCCCCTTGGAGTTTCAGCTGTGTCTCGTTTATTGCAAAGAAGGCGGGTTTCCATGCGCAGAGTTTCCTGTGGATTGGTGCAGGTTGCCAGTCTTCAATCAGGCCATACTGGAAGCCCTGCCTGCGGGGTTCCTGGGAAGGGCAAACCTCGCTCCAAATGCAGACCCCTTGCGCCTGTTTAACTCTGCCTCTCTGCCAAACTCAATTTTGACGCATCCCACACGAGTTGCCTTCCTCAGTTGCCCTTACTCCACAAGCACACCCTGCAAGGTTATTGGAGAGTTTGAAGCTGATGGTAGCCGACGACAAGATGGTGCTCGTTTTTGCTTGGTTTTCCTTTACACCCATCTAAATCGGGAGGAGGGTAGTTTCAAAGAAGACACGCCCCTTGTAACCTCTTTGGATTTCCAGAAGTTTCTAGCGTGTTTTATTCCACGCCTTTGTTTGCAAATCTGCAATCATCGTTTTCTTCAAATCCATGTGCAAAGTTGTTCCAACCAGCTACCCACCGTGCTTTGCTCTTCCCCGCAGTAAGAAATCAGTTTGCGGAGTTTCCGTGGTGACTTGCCTCTCTTACTTTTACGCAGGCGATCCTCTAATAGCAAAGCGCAACTCGAACAGATGGCTCGAACAACTGCCTTTTGGAAAAATCAACTCTCTTTCTCTTCTGAATCAACCTGGTTGTTTGTCTCCTTTTTTGTCTGTTTTTTCTTCAGGTGGCCAAGCACAACTCGAAGAGCGACTGCTGGGTGGTGGTGGACGGCCAAGTGCTGGACGTCACCTCCTTCCTCTCGGAGCACCCGGGGGGCGAGCTGGCGATCTTGACCTTCGCCGGCAAGGACGCCACGGAGGAGCCAATCGGTAACGCACGCGTGTCCTTTTTGTTGAGGACTGCTTTAAGGGGAAACCAAAGCGAGAACCACACATTTGTAGGTGATCCCTATTTTGAGGCACACACACACATGTTGGTATAAGATGGTGATTCAAATGGATTGCGCCGTTGCGGAGAGCATTTGGACCCGCCCCCCAGAAATCCATGTTTGGACCTAACCCCCCTCATTCCCTTGAATTATGAGGGGGTTCCTTCTAAATTACTTTTTATGAGGTTGTCTTGAATTGGAAATCGGAGCCCCCACAGCATCGTGCTTTCCCCTTTGGTTTGACTTTTCAACCAGCCCCAAAAGGGGTACCCTGGAAAAGGGGACAAACCCATGAAATTCATGGTTGACTAAACATGAAACAGACTCTAAAACTGATATCCCAGATGTGGGCGAATGCTTAGATCTGGCGAGTGTTCCCTGCCTTCACTTCGAATGGTCTCAGAGAAATGCTTTCCAAAAAGGCATTGAGTGATCCTCTTGACGGGGGGATATCCATCTATCCCTATATGTATGTACATATATATATATATATACATATGTATATCCACATGTGTATGTCTATATATACGTTTGGATCTATGAGTTGCACAATTTTAAACCGGCAACACTTTGCCACGACGTTTAGGCCATTGTTCCCCCTCGCTCCTTAAGAGAGGCTGCGAGGAGTGGCTTCAAACTCCCGAGCCCGGAATGTTGTTCATGGCTTGAATTGACAAACAAACAACATACACAATGTTGGCGAGTCCCCAAAAAGAGAGAGAGAGAGAGAGAGCGCCTCAAGAAATCCACCCCCTTCTGAAAAGGCAGATTCCCTCAACGAAACATGTTGGCGGGTCAGAGAGCAAACAAACATCCACCCCCTTTAAAAAGGGGGGGTCCCTCAACCAACAAAATGGAACATGGTTTGAGTCAGGAGTTCAACATGATCCACCCCCCGGACGTCATCGGCAAGTACGCCCCCGACGCCGTCATCGGCGCGGTGGGCGCCCCCGGCGCCGCGGCGCCCGCCGCAGCCGCGAAGGCCGGCGGGGCGCCGGCGCGAAAGGACCGGGGGGGGGGGGTCTCAAAATAGGAGTGTCGCTGTGGCGTTCTTTTTGTGGAGGTTGGGGCAGTTGTTAAGGAAACCCAAAGAGAAAACACGTTTTGTTTGGGGGGGTTACCTGAAAGCAGACACACCCAAAGAGTGGACCCTTAAATGATTGGTTTTCGATTGGTTCCAAGCAAATACCCATCAAACGGGTCCACCAATACTCGAATGTGGTTTGGTCCACATCGCGAGAATGGAGTTGACCTCATGGGCTTCCATGTGAGGATCTAGGAGCATTGAACTATTCGGGGGGTTTCTCAATCTGGTCAAATGGTGGACCCCTGTTTGGTTGGTGTCAAAGGGAAACCAAAAACCGTTTTTCTCCATCCCAGCTGTGAATCCATCTCCCATTTTGGGTTGGCAGAGAAACCCGAGGACAAGGGTGGGAAGTTGGCGAACCACCACGCCTGGGGCCACTTGGACGGCGACCTGCAGCCCAACTGGCGGGTGGATTTGGAGGACAATCCAGGCCCGACACGGTGGGGGTTAGCTTCAAAGAAAAACACTGGCTGTAGGTCTAGGGGCACCTTCCCCATTCTTTCCAGGGATCCTTCTTTCTGGAAAACCACCAACAACCATTGGGAAATGGCTGGTTTTTGAAAAGAACGATGGCTGAAAAGAATGGGGAATCAACCCTAGAATAGCTGTCCTTTTTGGTTGGTTTGGTTGAAAAAGTAGAGGGCCCTGGTTTACCTGTTGGTTCAATCATGTACCAGGGCCAAAAAGGACACCTATGCTTAAAAGAGACCCCCACAATGTTTTCGCAACGGCCGGCCCGGTGGGGTTGTTTGATGTCGGATGTCGGTGTTCCTGTTGGAATTCCCCTCAACACCCAGCGGTGCGCTCCCCCCAAAAATACACTCCCGTGCAAGGTTTGGTCAAGTTCTCCAGATTTGTTTCTGGTTCGGTTGAGACGGACTTGGGGGAGACTCACTAAATGTCCGCACAAAAACCCGGGGACTCACCAAATGGTCCGAGCTTTACGTCCTTTTCGGTCACCCCATTTGACTGTGAATCATTTGAAGGTTCCGAACCTCAACGCTCCCCACGACATATTTGGGACCCCGTATCCCTGTTCGCTGACGGTTTTATTTGATCATTCTCCTTCGCAGTACTCGCATCTTAAGGTTTCAGCGTGTGGTTCCGGCAAGTTGAGACGTATCCACCGAAGACGTTTCCTGCCTAAAGATCTTACTTGGAAGCCGCCCAAAATATCAGATACAGACCCATGTTCTTGGAGTCCTAGGGCCCCTATTGAAGGTGGGCAAAACAGAATCTATGCTTTTGGGCATACAGATGCGTTCCAAGAAATTGAGTCTACTTTGACTCAAAAGGTGCGCTGCTGATCAACGTGAAGTCGTACTTCAACGCCACCTGGTTCCTGCTGCTGTCCGTCCTCTACGAGGTGAGAACCGATCTCGCCGTTGCTCTCAGGTCCCGATGGTTTGGGAAAGAATGAAGCAACACGCTTAAGGGACGTGTACTGTATGTGTGGAAATGTGCACAACTCACTGCCACGCAAATCTTGACATTTGTGCAGCCATAGCCTCCCAAAGTCCTTCGAAAACCCGCCGAAACCCTATAGCGACGGAACTGGGAGGTTTGCACCACCATCCTCAGGTCATAGCCCGTTCCAAGAACCCTCCTGACAACCCTGCTTGCGAGGCAGGAGGCCCACATTGGGAGATCTGCACATCCAAATCTGAAATGGAGAAAGCTGAGCTGTGTATGGGCGTAACCTGAACGGACACTTCTTCCGCATGTTGGGGGAAATGTCCGCGACCAACCAAAGCAAAAAAACAATCAAGGGCGAAAAAGGGGGATCGAAACGAGCCGAAACGAGCCGGGGATCGAGCCGAAACGAGCCGAAACGAGCCGAAACGAGCCGCAACGTTTGGGAGGTCTGCGCCACGATCTTCACGGCCAAGAACATCAAGATCTCCAACGACCGGCTGGGCCTCACCCGCAGCGCCATTCTGCTGATCCTCTTCATCGTGATCCACGCCGTGGGGCAATCTGGCCGAGAGGACGGGCTGGGAACCGAGGCCCTCTTGGTGTCCGAGAAAGAACCACTCTAAAACGAGTATCTTCAAAAAGACACCCTCAAATGCGACCTAGTGTGGGTGTGTCTTTTGTGAGCCTACCCTTGTGGGAAGCAAACTGATGAACTTGCTTTGCCGTCCATGTCTGAACTTCTTTGGCTCACAGGTCAGCTAGGTCCCTCATATGAGCCGCAGCTCTGTTGCTACCCAGAAATCGGGTTTCCGTTACGGGCTGCACAAGCTCATCATATGTGTCATTTCTTTCACAAAGTGCTGGACTGTTTGGACAGTGACCCAAGTTCGCCTCACTGATAGGCACGAGACAACTTCTCAACAAGGTGTTTCTCAAACTTGGGTGTCATCCGGGCTGATTGTCTTTGGGTTTCCCTTAAAGACCAGCCAAGAACGGGTCACCTTAGAGACAGATCCATTCACCTGGAGGGTACGAGCCGTGAGACCGAGGAATCTCCACGTCTTCAAGGGCCCGGACGACTTCAACGGCTACGGCTACTTCTACGTGCGCCTCTACTGGACCGGCTTCGGACTGCCGGCCAACATCGTGGAGGAGTGGAGGGGTCTTAGAGTCGCCAAGTTGCAACGAAGGGTTTAAGCCACACCCCAAAAAAGGGGCCTAAACGCAGCCTCTTTGTCAAGCCAAACACACCCCCTGCCAAAACCGTTTCAAACGTAAGAGGGTTCCTCAGGTTTCCAACCGCAATGGTCATGGTCACAGAAGCCTTCTGCGGGGCCTTTCAAATGGATCTCAAGACAAGTTTTCGAATTTGACGTGGCATCTAATTGTTTGTTTGGAACCCCGCCTTTTGGGATCCAAAAAGGCGTGGTTCTAGCAATCCGATGAATCCCTTCAAGATGGATCAGCGCCCAGACGTTCTCAACAGATGAACCCATAGCGGTGCTTCTCAAGTCGAGTCTTGGAGATAGTGGTCGCATTTGGTGTTTGGGAGGGGTGGTTCGGATGTCAAGGCAGCAGGCTTCTAAGATGTCAACCACTTCAACCAGGTTCATTTCAAACAAATGTTGGCTACAGTTGGCCCTCAGCATCAAGAAATCCATGGTCCACTCGGGCAACCGCACCTGTGGACCGCCTGCGGGAAACTGGATATCCCGACTAGGTGGCTTTAGGTATCGCCTGTTGATTGCTTGCTTGCTATTGTGTTTTGTCCCCGATGAAGACTCATATGGGATGGTCATCAACCTCTGAGCCAGGGGTTAGACAACCCCTGTACAGGTTCCTTTACGGCAACCATGCGATGGTGGAACGCACATACAGCCTCACAAGGAAGAATGAAGGGATCGCCCAAAAACTCCTCGGGTGGAGGGAGCCTTGCGTTCATTTGTTTCCTAAAACGAAAGGGCAAACCCCAGCGTGTTACTGCAAGCCTTCCTCAAAAAAGACGGGGCTCCTCAAAAAGATACACGCTGCCCATTCAAAGCAGTCCGTCTTTGGGGGGGGGGCTTCAGGTGGACAATCTAAGAACCCCCTCTACACAACTCTCACCGCAAAAAGCAAACCTGTTCTCAAAGGAGGGACCAAAACAAGCAAAACACAGTCACAAAAGAGAGAGAGAGAGAGAGAGAGAGATGAGGATACCCAAAGACAGAGGCCATGTGGGGCAAATGTCCAGATAACAGTACAGAAGCAATCCTAAAGGGATGCCATCAACACAAACCCACCCACCCACACAAAAAGCACACACACATCCATCTATATACCGCCCATTTTTTTGCCATTAATTATACCCTCAAATTCATTCACTCCTTTGTAGGAGTACATTTTGCTGAGCGTGCTGCTGCACGTCTTCGTGGGTTTGAAGCGCACCTGGGACATGAAGCTGGCGCTGGTGAACTCGCAGGGCATCAACGTGCTGAACTTGGCCATCTCCGGGCTGATGCTGCTGACCTTCATGACCATCCACCTCTTCCAGCGCCTTGGAATTTGAGCCGGTTGAAGCGTGGTGTTCAACCTAAAAGCGGGTGGGATGGATTCGGTTGAAGCCAAAGAGAGAGGAATGGGGTGGTGTTCAACCTAAAACCGGGTGGCGGCCCTTACCTCAAAAGCTTTCAACGCAACAAATTGCCAGGGGGGCATCCCAAAAAGTTGGAGGGCGTGGATGTAGGAAAGCCCGGCCCCTTGAAAGTAGTGGAATCCGCTTGAAAGTCACCGAGTGGTCATGAGATCAACTACCTCTTCAATGGGTTGGTTGGTGCTCAGCCCAAACAGGGTGGAGTTATGCCCCAAAAAAGCTTGCATTCCCCCAACTTAGAAAGACCGGGGTTCCCCCACCTTCTCTTCCGGAGACTTGGAGGTCTGTGAAAATGGTCAAGGGTCAAAATTGGAATTTGGACCCCAAAACGGTGGTTGTCCTTTGGGTCTTCCTTGGAACCAAGGGTGAAAAAGGCTGCGCACCCTTTTTCTCTTTGTGGTTTGGTTTCCCCTAAGATGCAGAGGCAACCAAAGACGATCTTTGGAGAAAACATCCAGGAACGTGGGTCCCTAAGGGAAACCAACGCTTTGCGAGGTTGTTTAAGCAAGAATATGGCGGAAGATGTGGTTTTCGGTTGTTAGTTTCTGTGAGTGGCCAAGGGAAGCCCCTTGATTGTGACAAAGTCCTGGGGGGGTGAATCACGGGGATTTGTGTAAAGTCAATCCAGGAACAGTCGCGAAAATCGGATCTTTTGAAGGCCAAAGCCCGTTCTCAAGCAGACCTTCAGGAAACCCAAGCCATTCACCCAGTTCTTGCAACACAGGGGGTACCTTCCACGACAAGACTTCAATAGCGACGAAAACAAAAATAGCAGCAATAAATAATTGAGCTTCATACCACGACAAATAAAAAAGGTTCATACCACGAAACAGATTTTGGTCCATACGGCTGTTCCAAAGAACATGTGTTTTGCATTCTTGGGGTCCGAAAAGTACAAAACACACGTTCTTTGAATCAAGCGTCCATTGTTGGAAGAAGGGAAGAAGGAAGAAGGAAGGAAACAGGAGAAGGAGGGAGGCCTGTTTCAAAGAAGGAATGATCCGCTTTTTGAGCTTATCGTGATTATTATTATTTGTTCGTAGTAAGAAAAATAATTCCGAGTCGTGGTAGGAACAATTTCTGTCGTGGTTGGAAAGCTGTTGTGAAGCGTGGTTGGTGCACCCCCTCATTCTTGCAAGGATGTTACAATTCGGAAGGACACAATCCCCATAGCTGATCACTATACCCGTTTTCCAGGTGAAGCTGCTTCTTTGGTGGGCTACCCACCTAGTGCCTCACTTGGGTATGTGACGTCATGTGAGTGTGGCTTAGGGAACCCTCAAAAAGGGCGGTGTCCCTTTAGTTTTCAATTCAAAATAAGCCCCAAAACAGGCGCCCTCCGCCCCAAACAAAAACCAACCAGCCGAGTGGCGCGAGCGGAGGTTCCGCTTCGGTGACACGGATCAATTCGGGCCTTACTACGTGCGCCCACCTCCCTACTTGATCAACTTCTGGGGCATTTTGTCGCTGAACCTCTTCTGGACCCAGGCGTGATCTTAACAAAAAGCCTCTGTTTAGGTATTAGTTGGTTTGTTTGGGGAATTCGAACCCCTTGTTCTTGTGGTTAAATGGAAAAACACCCCAACCAAGCCACCAAACCAAACCACTTTGGGGTAAGGTCATTTGTGCGGCACGTTTAAGATGTTGTTCTTAGCGGGGTCGATCGCTTGCACCAAAGCATGTGGAATTTGGGGGTTGATCAAAAGGTCCTTCCATTACATGTAGTAATTGAGGAAATCCACAAACAAGATGATATTTCTCACTAAATCGGAAGCATTATCCTTGGTCGTTTGGGGGCCAAGACCGTACGGCTTACCCAACCTAAGGGGACCATCAGGACATTCTGGGCGACCAGACCCCATATAGAAACCTCACAGATTTGGGCTGAAGCACCTCTCATGCTTCGATAAACGGCCCAAGCTGAGCCTTGCTCCAAGTCCATTGAGATAAGAAACACATGGTTCTTGCACGGACCAAATTTCGACCCCGAGGTCTCTGGAGAAACCGTTTTCTTTGCTTTGGCTGCATTCAGTTCATGGTTGTTCTCTTGCGACCTTGAGAACACGTGGGGCCATCCTAGGGAATGCTCAGAGAGCTTTCATGGCGAAGGTCCCAGAAAGTCGGATTGATCGGACATTGGAAATGCAAAGCAACCGCCTGCCTTTCCCTTGGCAGCTGGCAGGACACATCCATCGAGCCGGTGGGCGTCAGAGACATCTACGCCTTTCGTCCAGGGTTCTGCGCATGCTTCAAGACCGCCAGGCTCTGCCACATATTGAGTGGTCGTTTTAGGAGGCACTCCAAAGGGGGGGGGTGATCGCTTAATTAGATCGACACTGCGATTGTCTTCAGGGCGGACCAGGAAGCCAAGAAGCCATTCTGACGAGTGGGTGGTTTACAAAAAAGTCGTCAAGAAAGTTGTCCAGGCCTTGGTGTCATGTTCTCTCTCGACCAGCTATTGGAGCTTGCCACGGGGTCGGATCAGTCGCTCCAACGGATCGTTTTATTTTGAGTTGAGCCTTCCAACTTGGCATGCTCTGATGGTACCCTTGTTCAATATTTGCTTCATGGGAAGCCAGAGGGGAATGGTATGGGCTTTGACCTTGCTTGCCCCTTTGTGGGTTCCCATGTTTTTGTTAAGGTGCTTAAAAGTATTCAACCTGTGATTTCTCATTCCCAGATCAAACTTTCGCTTTGTTTGGACCATGTTTTGGCCAGGCTCTGCCGGTGATCCCTTCGATGTATGGTTCCCTAAGTTGGGCCACTGAGTGCGTGGCTCTCCATCACTTTGAGCGAAGGCAGCCGTTGGAAATCCGAGGCCTTAGAGTTCCAGATCTTCAAGAACCCCCTGCGCCCTGATCGGATGCGAGAAGCAAAGGGCCCTCGTTGATGGTTGTTCTTTTTCCCGAGGCATGGGCATGTGTTCTGTTGTTTCTTTTTTTGTAGCTTGTTCCACGATGTAAACGGAAACATGGGCTGGGCTTTGTGTTTTCTTCCATGGTCCAAACGGAAGAAGGACAGCCACAATGTATTTTGGGGGGGCCCCTAATTCGACGCATAGAATCCAAATGTTTGTGTCCGAAGTGGTCACTGTTCCTTTTTTGAGCATGACACGAGTCCCCTTTAAGCGCGCAAATTTCCATCCTGGGAAAGGAATGCGCGAAATGATTTTATGTTTCCCTGTGCCCATCAAATTAGCCCTTCGAGTTTGATCCGCCCTTTTCAGAAGCTGATTTGGCGGAGACGTGTTCTCCATTTAGTTGATTCCGCGTATTCTGGTCGTCCTTTTTGTCTCCCCAATTGTGTTTGGTTTTGAGTTGACTCTGTACCACCAAGAGGAGTTTTCTTGCCAGGTGGTCCTTGTTCTACATCTTCTACAACAGAAAGCTATTGGAAGCTAAGGTTGCAACTGGTTTGAAAGGGCAGCCTTCCAAACAGATCGGATTTCCTATGCCATTCTTGAAAAGAATCACATGGCTGTGGGTCAAATCTAATGGTACCATTCCACCCATTTTAGTCTATTTTAGTGGGGATTGGGATGTTCACTGGGGGTACTGATTTTGACTCATGGCCACATGGGTAAGAACAACATCCAAGAATTCCCATTCGCTGACCTGCGGCAACCATCCCTAGTGATAGTTTCTGCTGGCCAAGTTAGACGAACAGTTTGGGATCTAAAAACATCCCCTTAAGTTTTGAGCTTTTCCGGGCTTAGTGGTAGTTTCTACTACACTACCCTCACTCCCACTAACATGGCACTTGATAGAGGGTCCCTTGAAAAGAAAATTGATCTTCCAGGTGCCCTCCCACAGATGCTATGTTTGTGGGAGGAAGGCTAGGGGATCCATGGGTTGCAAAGATGTGAGGTGGTCCATGTTCTACATCTTCTCGGTGGTGATCTTCATGATCCACGCCTGCCTGGGCTGGAAGAAGGTGACCCCGGTGCTGGGCATCCCGCGGGGCCACATCGCAAAGGTGGAGATGATCGGCTACGCCATCATGATTGCCACACGGTTTCAGCAACAAAAATCCAGTCGGGTAGATGAAGGTTAGTAAGGGACAACCAAGATGCCTTGATTCTTTACATGGTAAAATGGTGCACCATTTTAGTATCAGGTTTTGCTGACTGCCGTGAGGTGGGTATCGCTCATGTCTTTCGGTTTCTTGGGGGCTCGGCAGTTCCCGGTGGTTTGGCGAAGTGTCCAAATTGGAAAGCCCCCAAAAGGAACGCCTCAACTTCCATGTTGGAGGGGGTCCCATACCCCAAAAAAGACGAGCCCATTTGGGTTTGGTCATGGGGGGTTCTCTGGATTTCCATCGGACACATCGCACAAGGGAAAACGAGACTCGGACCTTTCCTTGGGCTCCTTCTGGCTTCCGGTCCCACAGAACGAAGCAGGGCGGTTGCCCGGTTGCCTCGGGGTTCTTGGGTGTAGCTCCTTTTTCAGGCTGGACCTCCCCAAAAAAATGGATTTCTTCGGGGGGTTTTCCTGTTGGTGGCCCTGTAAAACCACCAACAAAAAGGGGGGTACCGAGGCTCAAGAAAAGATGAGCCAGCCTCTTAGGGAAAATCATCTCCGGGTTGCTTCGGGATTTGGGTGTTCCTTGCTCCTTGTGGTTTTCTGAGGATTCCTTGGCTCGATGGTTTGCTGAGAGGTTTCTTGCTGGGATCGTCCTTGGTGTGGCTTCTTGGATTCCTATCTCAGATGGTCTTTGAGGATGGGTCCGGGCTTAAATTCCTGTTGCTTTCAGGCTTCCATCATGCAGAGCACATGCACACATTCCTCGGAATTCATATCGCTTCCACTACCAGAACCATTGAAGCTGCTATAATTCGATATAATTTGTCAAGTATATGCCAAGTTCCGCTGATTCTTAAAATAAAATCTCCAGCTGCGGTTTTTGTATCCCTTTGGTTTTCCCCTTTAGTTTACAACATTATAGCGGAAAGCGGACTACTTCTTGCATGGCCCCTCCAGATCTGATCTATAGAAGAGGGATCATAGAGTGCCCCGTATTTTTCATGTTTGAAAGGGAGGTGAATGTAGAAACACGAACATGTTCTTTAAGCTGTCCCTTTCAGAAATGTATGTTTCATCTTTGAAAATGATGTGAATAGAAGAACTCATATTCTTTAAGCTGTCCCTTTAAGGATGTGAATAAGTCTGCCTATGTTGTGGCGCGAGCTCACCGATCCGGGGTATAACGAGCTAAAGCCATGATAAAGGTTCTTTACTCGAGGATCCACTTCTTAATTCAACTTCTACATTTTTAGGCAACATTCACGGAGCTTGATTTGTTTTGTATGAAGCACATCGCAGATGGCCCTTACTGCTCGGCCCATTGTTTTTTTCTCTAGCCTTTCTAATCTTTGAAAGGGAGGTTAATATATTTAAACAACAAATATAGAACTAAAAAGGAACAACCACATCTTCTTCAAGCTTCCCTGTCATTCCGATGTTTTGGTTTCACCTGCTCAGCCCGTTTCTTGTTGTTGTTTTTTGAGAAGCCGAGGTCATGGGCCTGGTCTACATCTCCTTCCCCCTCTACGTCATGGCCACCTCCCCCTTCAGCGGCTACGAGGACAGCATCCAGGCCGAGGGCTGGCCGCATCTGAGGGAAACCGAGGAAACGGGGAGCAGCAACGAGGAGAGGCAACAAGGCACCAAGGAAATAGGTCACTCAAGCAAAATGACAACAAGAGACCAAGCGACCTAAGGCAGCAAACAAAGTTCAAGCACCAACCAAGCAACGAAATGGCTGACTCACCAGCGAACGAAAAAGAACCAACAGCCCAACAGACAATTACACACAAACAATCAAAAAGCCCACCCGTCAGTTTGTGGAAAAGCACTCACCCAAGCTCGGAATCTTCTGGGGAGGGTCCCAGGTGCGGGTGAGATCCCTCGGGGATTGTCTGCGCAGGGCTGCTTTTTTTGTTTCTTTGGGGTGGAAACAAAAGGGGAAGCGAAGGCCATGTTGCGGGTGCCCCTATGTGAAGACCGACCAATGTGTAATCATTGCCAAATATCGGCTTGACGACTGCAAAGGATGTCCCCTCCTGCGTGTTTTCAACATCGCCCTTTTCAAGTTGAAGGGAGCTTCCTCTGAGGATGTTTAAGGGGAACGGGGTAACCTGATGAAAGAGAAACCAAACGGAGGTTGTTTGACCTTGTTTAAGCAGTTTGGCGGTTTGCAGAATCCATCTTCCTTTATTGCATGCTCTATTTCACATTCAAGGTTCGTCAGATACATAGGGTTGCCGGAATCAAAACATATTCCTAGCTGGGGTTAAAAGATGATGGGGCAACATTTGGCGCCCACCAGAAGCGTCCCCTCAAGAACGGTCTTCAAGCTACCTCCCGCCATAGGTTCCATGTTCATTGGCGGGGCTTCCGTGTTTTCACCGCGATCCAGGCTCCCGGAAGGGTCGAATGAGACCCGACGAGACGAGTTGCGACCTGCGAGCGGCATGTAGCTTTCGTCAGCTGTGCCGATCAACGGATTTCAGGGCCCTTGGGCTGTTGTGAGCTGGGGGCGTGGATGTGTCCGAACCGGGGAACCACCTTTAACAATCTAAGGCAGGTCTCGGAAGAAAACTCAGTGTTGCAGTTGCCCCTTATGGTGCAATGTTTAGGTGGGAAGTACGCTGAGCCCTGAAAAAGGAGGGGTGGTTTGCCCGTTTTGAGACAGACCCACTTTTTGGAGGAGACTCCAAAGGCAGCCTCGGTTTGAGCGAACCGCTCGCTTGAAGCGGCGGCGCTCGCGTCTTTGCGAGAGACGTCTCTCGCATGCCGAAGGCATGGCAAGCAAGTTCTGAGAGCACATGACTTATGTATCCGCCAGGAGAAATGATGACAAGGAGTCCTGCGGGTGCTCTAAAATTCCACTGGAAGCCGCGAGTTGGATCAGAGGTTTCCCCGAAGGACCCAGGAAAAGAAAGGGAAGCAGTTCGCTGAAATCAGAGGCTGGTGAGCCACAAGGCAATCATTCTGAATGGTCCTGGTCACTGGATCAACACCGTAAGATCTGGTCAAAATGACGGTGGTCGGCGTTTTTGTGCTGGAAGCTTCCCCGGGAGTATCCCAAGAATCACAACCCCAGAGCTCAACCTTCCAAGCCTTGACAATATCAGGATTCAAGGGTAAAAGCTTGTGGAACAGTTTCCCGTGATTTCCGTTTCCCTTTCAGGGTGGCATTTTTCTACCTTGTGCCGATAAGGCCAAGTTTGGGAGCAGCCATATTCCATATGAAACCAACCACGACAACCCGACAGAACCATCGGTTACCCATAGGATCACCTCTCACGTCCAGATTCGCTGTGGGGTTCGAGGGACCACCTTGGTTTGGGACCTTTGTTGAATTGTTTGGAACCAAACATAGGATGGAAAAGGATCACTTGTTGGACCATTTTGGTGCGATTTTTTTCGGCGTGATTTCAGTTGGCTGACAAAAGTTGGGCCAGAAACCAAACAACTAGGCGGTCCAATTTTGCGTGTTCCCCCAAGGAGCCCCTCCAAGGGTTGTTTTCAACATCACCTTGTCGCGTGTTTCTCAAAACAAGGAAACCGCCTCCCCTTTTGGCATGCTTCTAAGCCAAAAGCAAGCCACCTGAAGGGCTTCCGCTTTCGCTGAGTTTCCCTGGGGGGTTTGCGCCCACCGAGCCGAGCCGCCTGGCCGCAGGCCCCGATGCCCGAGAACTTCGGGGAGGAGGCGCCGGACTTCGACGCCGGGGAGGCCCCCACAGGCGCGCTGATTGAGCCGCGGATCTCCCGCGAGCCCGGAGATGGGCCGAGCGAGGGAGACGAAAAGAGCAGGGAACAGGGGCACACGAAGTTCCCAAAAGAAACTGGGGGATGGTGACCAGGTAATTAAGACACAAAGCCGAAGATGGCTAGTTGAGGGGTTCCGACCCGCAAGCCAAGGGGTGCTGCAGCAGCCACCATCATGTTGCCACGAACCACAAGACCCAAGGGTTACAGGGTTACTTGTGCGGGTTCTTTGTGCCCGGGAAAGTCCAACTCAAGTTTGGGGAATCGTGTACTCCGCTGATGTCTCTCTTGACATGATTTGATGAGCTGAGGTCCACCAAAGATGGACCCCAATGTTCAAAACAAATGCAGCTTAGTTGAGGCCAATGGCGGAAGTACATGTCCTCTTTCCCACAATCATGGACATGGAATCTTTTCAAGAGGATGGTCGTCTTCCAAAATCCTCCTGTCAGCTTCTTTTGTTGCAACCGGGTCGCCACACACGGAAGTGCACAGGAACACTCACTAAGAGGGAAAAAGGTCTTTCACAGTGGGGCGTGTGCACAAAAAACATATTTTTTGGTTGGAGGCTAGTCCAACTGGGCTTGTCTGTGTTTAAGCCCCAGTATTCCCTTTTGTGCACACAAACCATATAGGCCATATAGGTTTTCCGGTTCTTTTGGCTGGCCTCGGGACACCAAGTGGAACGCCGAAATTTAGTTCTCCGAGCTCCAAAGCTACAAAAGCGCCAGGCGAAGTGGAGCCGGAGTCGGACCAGTCCGCAGGGAAGCCTCAGCATCGCTCGCAAGTCTCACAAATTCTCTAGGTCCCCCAAGGTGCCCTTTTAAACCCGTTTTTGGTTGGGAGGGTTCCCCTAGAATAGACTACAGAAAAGGGTAGCCTTATTCTAACCTCTTTAGTAGAGGACCTAGTCGCTCTGGGGTTGCAGTGCGCTCGGTAATAAGTTGTTTTCCTTTTTTTGGGGCTCAGTGGAAAAAAGTCGTGGATTCTCTCCGAAAAGTTGAAGGCCTGAAGATCCAATCAAGTCACACATTCTAGAACCCTTGTGTTTCCGACCTCATTGATCAATCTGCAATGGTGTCACACGGGTCCCTTGTGGTTTTGCACAGCAAAAGATTATTTTGTCAATTCAGGTGACCCTTAGTTTATGGTTTGGAGGTTTGAACCCCTGGCTTCTTGTAGAGGATAAATGGGAGACCCCTCCTTATCAACGAGGGAAGCTAATCAATCGTTTCAGATCAAGTGAGTTCAGCCAAAACTTCATAGGACCCATTGTTGGTCAGCTTGAACCTGTTGGTTTTTTGGCTGGCCCATTCTGCCCTGCAAACGTCCTTTGAGCAACATATGTTCAGATAACCAGACCCTGGACCCATAAGGGCAAGAAAGAGATTTGGTGAAACAAGCATAGTTGACTTCACTGTTGGCATGTTTTTAGGTTTGTAGGTGTTTTTTGTTCTATTCATTTTTGTGGGGGGGTGGGGGGGGGGGGGGGCGCAGAAAGCAAAAAGTGGTTGGCCACCATACCAAGGGTTGTAGTAGTCATGTTCAGTCAAGTTGGCCCAAACCTGGAAGCTATCCGAATCTTGAAGCTCTTGGCAACTGGTGACAGTTTCCGACTGATAGCTGATCGGCTCAGTCGTGGCCTCAGTTAAATAGGTACCTGCGATTACCTGCGCATTGGCCCTCAAACTGACGCATCACCTTCCGGGTGGATTGTCCTTTTCCAGATGTTTCGGGCGGCTCTGTGTCTCCTTAGCCTGGGGGGAAGTTGCCCCCAAACTGGTTGCGTCAACTTTAAAGCGAACCAACACATGTCATCTATAGATACTGGAGACATCAACCCAATGGGGCCACTTGGCCCCATTGGTGTGCCACAATCAAAGTTACCGCCCTGAGTGGTAGCTTCACGACTTTTATCATCCCCAGAAAGTCATTTGACTATCAGGTGAGTGCGACTGAGATGAGAGTCAACAATCAATAGCGTTGTCCTCCAGAACATGACAAACTGACAAACCCTAGTTTGAAAGGGGCGACAACAACCCCATGCTCTTGATTCAGGCGTTTGTCTCGCTTGGTCACTTCTCATGATTGCCCAACCCCTGCTGTATTCGCAACCAACTGGCAGTTCTTTGCCGCAAAGGAAACGCCCACAAAACCAAGCAAAGACAACATGAGAAGTGTCGACTCAAGCTTTGACAATTCTGATTCCCAACAAATTACCCAAACCGATTCCCAACATCCGCCGATTTCAGCGCCACGAAGCTTGCCCGTCGATGTCCAGCGGGGCTCAAGTTCGTGCTGCTTCGCGCACCCTCACATTCGCGTGCCATTTGCGTCAGGCGATTCGCACGGGTCGGAACCAGTGTGTTGAAAGAATCAGCTCCTGGTCCCACGGAAAAACACGTGTCTGAATCAACTAGTTGGTGGTTTGCTTGAAATGAAAACCGCAAGAAGGTTGTTTTGAAGTGTTTCTCACTTCTGCCAATGTCGTGTGCAGCTTGGAACTCACTTTTTCTTGGCAAGGATGTCCCGGCGGCTTTGGTGAGATTTACCAGGTACTTAATCAGTTGGTTGGCCAGGTCACCTGGGTGGGCAATAGTTCCAGCAGAACGCTGCCTCAGTTCCCCCCCCCCCCCCCCCCAGAGTGGTCCAAAGGGTCAGTTTCCCTTCCCCGTTGGGACGTCCATGGTCACTAAGTGTTCCCACTGTGCCATAGCACCTCCCCTAGGAGTTTGTCTTTGCCAAGGCCCCTAATGTGGTAGGAGGCATTTGGCAGCGCCTACAAGCCCTTATGGCTTTTGTGGTAGTTCATCTGCTAAAGATATGGTAATTCCGATTAAAACCTGTATAACCTATCACCATGTTGGTAGAACCCAAAGTCGGGCAAAACGGGCGCTGCTCATTTGGGTTTGTTGTCTGACCACAACTCCAATCAGAAATCTCTCTGCTCTTTAAGCCCACAAGGCGGACCCCGCATCAAAGCGCACTGGGCGACCCTTGGGCCCCTAGGATCACTCCATTTTCCCGAGAAGCCAGAAGACGATGGAGATGCTTCTGGCAAGACCACATGTCTCCTTTCGGGGCGGATGATTTGCGCCCACAGTCCTAGAAACGGGGATCGTAGGGGCGCACCCGGCAGGCGCGATGAGGTTTGGCCGGAAGTTGGCGCTGCAGGCGGGGGCCGGAGAATTGATTCAGTGGCTCAGGCTCAGATGCCGAAGATGAGGCAAAACGGGTGGATGTGGGGTCCAACTGGTTTCCCCTTGTTTGGTGGGATGTTTGAGTTCAGCTTAGGAACATATGGGGAACTCTGTTTGACTCGGGATCTGGGAGTGATTATTGAGTATGACGCATCTGGGTGAGGCTTGCCAAGCACGGAAGGAACCCCACCCCCTCCCCGACCGCCCGCAGGTCACCTCCGACCAGACGGGTGCGCCGTACCTTTCGCACAAGGCCATGAAAGAGGCTGGGTCCAAATTTCAAGGCGATCCGGCGCCATCCGATTCGATGTCAGGTCTTCGTTTGGAGTTTGAATTCGCACCCGAGCCCGTCCCGGGTAAACAGGAAACCGGCACACCTCCAAGGGATCCAAAGATCGTGCCCAGGGGGTTGGCAGGCCCATATTACTCATTAATAACTTGCGTGCTCTTCACCCTTGGTTCTCTGTTTTGTGTGGTCTCTTGGTAGCAGAATGTCCAAGCTTAGGGGTTTTTGGGCTTGTGTTCGTCGGGTCGTAGGTTTCGACGCGGGATTCGGGCTTTGGCTCGCGCCGATTGAGTCGCGAGGCCATCAACAAGA